TTGGCTTTTAACTCATAGGTTGTTAACCTAGCAGGAGTAGTGGTTGAGAGCCCCTGTTTGCTAAAAACAAGCAGACGACTCATACCTTTTAGGCTCCATACTAAGTTTGAGAGAGTGACTATGAGTTAACTTTGGTGTTACTCAGTCGCCGTCACTCCTGCTTGAGTAGTAAAGGTACCAGGCTGCGGAGGCCGGCTGAACCTTTTGATTCGCCAATAGTTTGTTGGCTATTAACTCAAGAGGTTACCTAGCAGGAATAGTGGTTTGAGAGCCCCTGTTTGTCAAAAAACAGGCGGTCGACTCATACCTTTTAGGTTCCATACTAAGTTTGAGAGAGTGACTATGAGTTAACTTTGGAATTACTCAGTCGCCGTCACTCTAGCTTGAGAAGTAGAGGTACCAGGCGGCGGAGGCCGGCTAGACCCCTTGATTCGCCAATGTTTGTTGGCTATTAACTCAAGAGGTACCCCCTGCATTTATCCCAAGAAATACAAGCGGTCATCTGACTCATATGTCAATTGCTACCACTGGTTTGGTTAGTGATAGAGTTATCCTTGTCTCAAAAACGGCTACGTGGTTGCCCTTGGGGACAGTCGTATAGGTGCCGTGTAATTAGTTTATAGAGCAATGTTCCACCCAAAAGGGAGCTGCTCTCTGCGACGAATTTCATCCGAAGGGATGCCGCCGGACGCCTGCTATGATGTTGGGACAGGTCGTATTAGTTTTGAAGATTTGATCAGTTGGCTTGGCGCCTGGTCTGATCATTCGGCCTGTGGCCTTGGTTAGTTCTTGGTGAACGTAGGTGCTAAGTAAAAGGAGGGTAGCCGCCTATTAGGCACAGGGTCGGCCAGGCCCTAATCTTTTTTAGCTAAGTATAAGGGGGGTGGCTATGTGTTTGGAACCAGTCGGCCCTCTTCTATGGAGAGTAGCCGACTTTATGTCCAGACGGCATGCCCCTATGGTGAGTAAAATATTCAATGGAGAGTAGCCGACTGTAAAGGTACAGGCGGCATGCCCCTCTGAAAATAGAGTAAAACTCAATGGAGAGTAGCCAACTGAAAGGTACAGGCGCCATGCCCCTCTGAAGATAGAGTAAAGTACCCAATGGAGAGTAGCCGACTGTAAAGGTACAGACGGCATGCCCCTCTGAAGAGAGTAAAATGCTCAATGGAGAGTAGCCGACTGTAAAGGTACAGACGGCATGCCCCTCTTAAGTAAGAATTTAAACATGGAGAGTAGCCGACTATTTGTTAGTAGGCGTGCCCCTCTTAGTACAAAATTGAATATTAAGTGCAAGCTTTTATTAAGTAGCCCTTGATTATTTACATCATTCAAAAGAAATATTTCTTAAGATTATCTACATTCCAAGTTCGAGGCAACGGTTGTCCGTCTGGTGTTTCCAGCCGGTAGGTACCGTCCCTAACCTCTTCACAGATTCGGTAGGGTCCTTCCTAGTTGGGAGTTAGTTTGCCAGACTCATTAGCCCTACCAACTGCTTCCATTTTTCTAAGTACAAAGTCCCCCACTTTGAGTGGACGCCTGTGTACTTTTTTGTTGTATGATCTAGTCATTCTCAGGCGGTAAATTTCATGGCGCAAGACAGCATTGCCCTCCTTTCAGGAAGTGAGTCTAATGCCAGGCGCATGGCTTCCCAGTTTGCCTCTTCGTCATATAGCATTACTCGAAGAGTCGGCTCGTAGTGTTCTATTGGAAGAACAGCTTCCGCACCATAAGTTAGGAGGAATGGAGTTTCTCCAGTCGCCCCTTTTTCAGTCGTCCTAATGGCCCAGAGAACATGTGGTAATTCATCCGCCCATAGGCCGCCTGCTCGTTCAATCTTTTTCTTGAGACCGTCTGAGATGATTTTATTAAAGGCTTCTACCTGGCCGTTTGCTTGTGGACGGCCGACAGATGCAAAGTAGTGTGCAATTCCTTGGTCACCCAACCAGCTTTTGAGAACAGGCGTCTCAAATTGGGGACCATTATCAAAAACCATAGACATGGGAACCCCGAACCGAGTGATGACATTTTTCCAAATGAATGAAATTACATCCTTCATCTTGATTCCCTTTACAGCCTCCGCCTCTACCCATTTAGTGAAGTAGTCGACGACAACAAGTATGTACCTCCTTCCGCCTGTAGCAGGCGTATATGGACCCAGAATGTCCATGCCCCACTTAGCAAACGGTAGTGGGCTATGAATGGTAGTGAGGTCAGTAGCCGGACGGTGAATTAGTTTGCCAAACCTTTGGCACTTGTCACACTTTTTCACCATCACCATCGCATCTGCTTCTAAGGTAGGCCAAAAGTAGCCCTGCCGCCTTGCCCGTTGAGCAAGCGTCCTACCGCCTATATGGGAAGCACAGTAACCAAAGTGAAGATCGTCTAGTATCTCTCGTCCCTTTTCTGGAGTAACACATTTTAAGAAGGGTTGAAGGTACCCCCTTTTGTGAAGTTCTCCCTTTATTATTTCAAAACTGGTTGCTCGTTTTTTCAGTGCTGCCGCCTGTTGATGATCATCCGGCAGGGTACCATTTGCCAGATATGCCCTGATTGGATCCATCCAGGTTGAGCTTCTGTCTAGGATTCCAATAGGGTCTTCCTCGATGCTTCTCTTCTCCATTACTTCCCAAAAAACAGTTCGAGGAGTATCAGAGGAGGCGGATGATGCTAATTTTGACAGTGCATCCGCCTGGTTGTTTTCTGATCTCGGCACTTGGATCAGATGGAAATCCTCAAGGGAGCCGACTGCTTGTCGGACCGCCTGTAAATACTTGATCATGGCCGGATGGGTTGCTTCATATTCGCCATTGTACTGACTCACTATCAATTGTGAATCGGAACAGGCGTCTATTTTTCTTGCCCCTGCCGCCTTGCACATGCGGATTCCGGCTAGTAAAGCTTCATATTCTGCCTCATTGTTGAGGCCTGAAAACTGAAGCGTAGAGCATACTCGTACCTGTCGCCCTCCAGCGACTGACATATGACGCCTGCTCCACAGCCATTTGAAGTAGAGCTTCCGTCCACATATACCTTCCAGACTTGGTCTGGAACTTGAGAGTCAGGGGGACGAGTCATCTCAACAATAAAGTCAGCAAAGGCTTGCCCCTTCACTGCTTTTCTAGGCTCGAAAGTAACTTCGAGGCTCTGTATTTCTATGGCCCATTTGATCATTCGGCCTGACGACTCCATGATGGTTAGTGGCCGCTTGATAGGTTGGTCTGTATACACGACGACTGCATGTGCCAAAAAATAGGGCTTCAATTTTTTAACAGCCATGAAGAGTGCAAGACCAAATTTCTCCACTAGGGGATACCTCAACTCGGCACTTTTCAGTACATGACTGACAAAGTAGACCGGGAGCTGACAGCCGTCTCTTTCAGCAAGGAGAACAACGCTTAACGCATGATCAGAGACGGCCAGGTACATGTAGAGTACTTCTTTGGGCAAAGGGCTGACCAGCCTCGGCAAGGAATGCAAGTGAACTTTCAATTTCTGGAAGGCCGCCTCGGCATCCGGCCCCCATTCAAACCTTGCCTTTTTCTTAATTGCATGGAAAAAGTATAGGCATTTGTCGCCTGATTGGCTTAGAAATCTTCCCAAGGCCGCCAGACAACCTGTTAACTTCTGAACCTCTCGGATGGTACGAGGCGACTGCATGTCAATGACCGCCTGCACCTTCTCAGGGTTCGCCTCTATTCCTCTCTGATTGATAAGGAATCCGAGAAATTTCCCAGACTCAACTCCAAAGACATATTTCTTGGGATTGAGCATGACATGGTGCCGCCTGAGTGTGGCGAAAGTTTCTCGGAGGTCCGACAGATGATCTTTCCGAAGTTTAGTCTTGACAATCATATCATCAATGTATGCCTCGACGTTTCTCCCAATCTGATCAAAGAACACAGTGTTTATCATTCGCTGGAAGGTAGCCGGGGCATTCTTAAGACCAAACGGCATGACCGTGTAACAGTATAACCCCTGATCAGTGACGAAGGCCGTCTTCTCCTGATCTTTCTTCCATAAAGGAATTTGATGGAAACCAGAGTAGGCGTCCATAAAGCTCATCAAAGCATGGCCGGCTGTTGAGTCGACCAGGTTATCAATTTTAGGCAGAGGGTAACTGTCTTTGGGGCACGCCTTGTTTATGTCTGTGTAGTCTACACACATTCGCCAGGTGCCATTCGGCTTTTTAACAAGCACCACATTTGCAACCCAGTCTTGGAAGTAACATTGCCGAATGAACCCTGCATCAAGTAATTTTTTAATTTCGGCGGCTGCCGCCTGACTTCTTTCTTCGCCATGGTTCCGCTTCTTCTGCCGTACCGGCCTCTTTTTCGGATCCACGGCTAGTTTATGTACCGCCAGATCAGGACTAATGCCTGGCATTTCATGGACTTCGAATGCAAAGATGTCCTTGTATTCTTTAAATAGTTTGTGAAAGTCGTCACCAAGGTCTCTCAGAGCAGTCGTCCCAACTTTGACTGTTCGCTCAGGACGTGAGTCGTCTAAGATCAAGTCCGTATGCTCACCAGCCGGCTGAGGGCAGAATTCATCCTACCGCTCCTCTGCCAATGATTGCTATTTTTTGTCTTTTCTTGCGGCCCCTGTCTGGGATGCCTTTCTCTTCTTGCCGCTTGCTTCTTGAACAGGCGCACTCTCCTTGACATTGTCAAGGTCTGTTTTTCCACCACTTGACCCAGTGGCCATAACAGTGGGCTTGACATCCGAGAGATAGCACTCTCGGGCCATCCTCTGATCTCCCCTTAGGGACCCGACTGTTCCATTATCCCTCTCAAACTTGAGCAACATAAGAGATGGGATTATAACAACCTTGGAATTATTCAGGGTTGGTCGTCCCAGAATCATGTTGTAGGCCGAGAGTTCTTTTACTACCAGGAAC